GAGTACTTCTTGCATGGGGAACTTCTACACTGACACTATAATACAGCTTCACATCAGTTTGAAAGAAATAGGTTTTGCTGTGAAAGGACCTCATCGGATGGACAGGGAGAAAGCAAAGGAAATAGTCTTACACTGTTCCCTCCTGTCCTTCCCTGTCTTCGGGGATGGCCGCCTACATGTTTACTGTTGCACAGCAGTGGACTTTACCCAGCACACAAATGCAATAGACTCACAGACAAGAGGAAAAATGACCAGAAAAATCTTTACTCTTTACTCAGCAGAGAAGAAACATAAACTTGCAATGTTGCATACAAAAATCAAACAGTGCAAGAAACTTACATAGTCCTTGTAAGTAACACAAAATAAGGCATCTTCATCTTACATCAAATGAGAGAGCAAAAATAAACCTTGAGTAAATAGCTATTCCACCATAGCCTCCTTCAGAGTAGCTTCTCCATGCTGCTCCCCAGAGCAAAGCCTTTGAGCATAGATCTCCTCAGAACAAAAACTCTCCACCACTCAACACCCATACAGATATACCCCATTGGGTGTGGTCCAACCTTGCTGGTTGACCTACATTCCCAGCTGTACATAATGATTAACACCATGTTTCCTTCAACACACACACGATTGGTCCTGCTATGACTTACCACAACAAAGGGTGGCATATAAATGTCATAAATAAATAAATAAATAGTATCTAGATCAGTGGTTCTCAACCTGTGGGTCCCCAGGTGTTTTGGTCTACAACTCCCAGAAATCACAGCCAGTTTACCAGCTGTTAGGATTTCTGGGAGATGAAGGCCAAAACATCTGAGGACCCACAGGTTGAGAACCACTGAACTAGATCAAGGGAAGTCATGCTCCCCCTCTATTCTGCCTTGGTCAGACCACACCTGGAATCGCACTGTGTTCTATTCTGGGCACCGCCATTGAAAAGAGATGTTGACAAGCTGGAATGTGTTCAGAGGAGGGTGACTAAAATGATCAAAGGTCTGGAGAACAAGCCCTATGAGGAGTGGCTTAAAGAGCTGGGAGAAGGCTGAGAGGAGACCCAGTCCAACCCTCTACCAAGAAGCAGGGAAATTGCATTCAAATCACCCCTGACAGATGGCCATCCAGCCTCTGTTTAAAAGCTTCCAAAGAAGGAGCCTCCACCGCACTCCGGGGCAGAGAGTTCCACTGCTGAACAGCTCTCACAGTCAGGAAGTTCTTCCTCATGTTCAGATGGAATCTCCTTTCTTGTAGTTTGAAGCCATTGTTCCGATCTGGCGTCAGGAAGTTCTTCCTCATGTTCAGATGGAATCTCCTCTATTGTAGTTTGAAGCCATTGTTCCATCGTCCTAGTCTCCAGGGAAGCAGAAAACAAGCTTGCTCCCTCCTCCCTGTGGCTTCCTCTCACATATTTATACATGGCTATCATATCTCCTCTCAGCCTTCTCTTCTTCAGGCTAAACATGCCCAGCTCCTTAGGCCGCTCCTCATAGGGCTTGTTCTCCAGACCCTTGATCATTTTAGTCGCCCTCCTCTGGACACATTCCAGCTTGTCAATATCACTCTTCAATTGTGGTGCCCAGAATTG